TAACCCTACAGACCCATGTATTCATTTTAGGTATCCCAGTTTACCTCACCTTGTTTCCTAACCTTTTGTTTTGTTTTGTTTTTGTTTTTTGAGACAGGGTTTCTCTGTATTGTTTTGGATGCTGTCCTGGAACTAGCTCTGTAGACCAGGCTGGCCTTGAACTCAGAGATTTGCCTGCCTCTGCCTCCCAAGTGCTGGGACTAAAGGTGTGCACCACCAACGCCCTTCTCCCTAACCATTTGTTATACGATTATGCATTCATATTTAATTGTAATTACCGTCACAATTCTCAATGGGTCTTATATCATCAGCAATGGAGAGATGCTAGAAAGAAAACAGGGCACCTCAGGTCTTTCAGTAAATTTACAGTGGAGACAAACTCCTAGAACCCTGGTTTCTAGAATCCTAATCCAGGCCTTCTCTTACAATGTAAGTGGGGCTGTATTGCATAGCTGAAACTGGTTATAGTACTGAGGGAGTGGCTGACTTCCAAAGTAACCTTAGGGGTAGAATGTGAATGTTTGTATGGGAAGGACCCTTCATTCAAGATGGGCCTCGGTATGTGAGGTGAGCAGCCAGTGGTGCTCTTAACCTCTGAGCCAACTCTCCAGCCCAGGACCTTTATTTTAATGTTCAATGCTTTTGTGAAAAACAAAACAAAAACAACAAATAAATAAATAAATAATCCATGAGGCCAGCCTGTTCTATAGAACAAGTTCCAGGAAAGGTACCAACGCTACAGAGAAACTCTAGCTTGGGAAAAAAACAAAAAAACAAAACCAAGAAGGGAAAAAAAAAGCCTAGACCACTTGATATTTTTACCTGAATTCTGAACTTATCTTTTAAAATAAGAGAATTAAAGTAAGAATTCAAGATTTCCCTTGATTCTTATGTATTTACTGAATAGTTTAGGTGGGTAATCAGAATATGGCTTTGGTTATTACATAATTATGATCTGTGTGTATATATAGGCCAGTTAGCTTCTGATAACAGAAAGTTACAGAAATTCCAAAATCCTAGAGCCCACCTCTTAAATCAAGATAACAGCATACAGTAGTCCACTTAAATCAACGGGGCAATCCAAGACATCCCAGTGCACACATGAAACTGGATGTAAGTACCAGACTGTATATACATTTTCTCCTAACACACATATATATCTATGATATATATATATATACATATAAATCAGTAACAGAGCAACTTAACATTACACTATAATGGAAGCTATGTAAATGTGATGTCTCTATGTTTTTTTTTTCCTTAAAACATCTTAACTTTAATTTAAGAAAGCAATTTCTAGCTTTTCTTTGGATAACCTGAATTGCTAGCTACATAAATAGGGATACCTACAACACTAAAATATCATGATAGTCTATTTATCCACAATGGCTATTAAGCAACTAGTAGACACAGACAAATGAGTATACTAGACCAACGGCTGACTTGTGTCTAGGCCGAACAATTTCATCACCATTCAAAATAATACAAAACTTCAATATCTAGACCAAAGGCTCTCAACCTTCTTAATACTCCATGTGATGTTCTAATAAAGTTCCTCATGTTGCAGTAACTCCCAACCACAAAATTATTTTTGTTGCTACTTCATAACTGTAATTTTGCTAATGTTATAGATCACGATATAAATATTTTTGGAGATAGAAGTTTGCCAAATGGGTCACAACCCACATGTTGAGAACTACTACTAGTCTAGATGGTTTACTTCTGGAATTTTCCATCTAATATTTTCAAAGCACAGATGAATAATAGTTAACTGAAACTACAGAAGGTTAAACTATGGCAGGTGTTATATAGAAGGGATAATATTGAATCCAGAATACATTTCATCACTAAAATTATAGGATTCATCAAGTGTTTATCGACTTAACAGATGTTAAACATTAAATTAACCACTTTTAGTATACCTCTGAACTGTTTTTAAGAGTGTTCTTGTTCATAAATGCTCAGCTGTTAAATCTTGCACAATGTGTGGTCCAGTCGCATATAAGGTCTCACATTAATACATATAGTTAGTGTAGGCCACCAAGTATACTACCAAACAATCTATTGTACAGACCTAGAGTCTATAATCCCAACTACTTAGGAATCCTGGGAAGGAGAAGTTCAAGTGAAGGACATCCTGGCTACACTGCAAGTTCAAAGTTAACCTGAGCAAGTGAGTTGAAACCTTATACAAAAAGGGGCTGAGGATGTAGCTCTGTATAGTGTTTGCCCACCATCTCTGTGAAGCCCAGAATCCAAATAAATTCAAGTACCATAAAACAACAGAATCCATTTCACATAAAACCATATTAGAGCCAGGCAGTGGTGGTACAAGCCATTAACCCCAGCACTCGGGAGGCAGAAATCTGAGTTCAAAGCCAGCCTGGTCTATAGAGTGAATTCTAGGGCAGACAGGGCCAACACTGACCTTGGGGGGGGGGAGCATATTATTAAGATAACTTTGAAATTCTATTTTTGTCTTCCAATACTAGTTGTCCTTCAGATTTTTATTTCATCATTACCAAACACTGGATAAAATACAGATAAAAACAAAATTCCCTATGTGCTTGCTCTCTTGTCACTGTCTCAAAATCTGACCACTGACTGGGTTCCATGAGTATAGTAACATGATCTCAGCATATTGCTAAGATTACTATTTATTTCAGAACGAAGCACGTTCTTCAGTGGTTACAAAGCCACCATGATATAAAAGCACAATACACAGAAGGAAGGAATGCCAGGAGCTGAGTGCTCCTTTCTTGCTCAATTAACCCTCAAGCCTCTTTTAAATGGTATTATTCTTTGTAAATTAGAATTAACCAGGAAAGGACTTTGAAGACAGCCACAATCTAAGTTTATTTAATATTACTTTCTGCAACACAAACAAAAGTTCTTATTTTTTAGGTTTGTGAAAATGTATGACTAGGAACTTACTGCAATATCTCAGTTTCCTCATCTAGAAAATGAAGTTCAAGAACTACCAAATATTTATTTTAGATCCTAGCATACAATGATCTCTCGATTTAAGAAAATCAGTTATCAGTCAGATCTGATCCCCAAATTCCATGCACTCTTTCTATTACAATTTTCAATAGTTGTCAACAGAGTTTCATGTAGTTCAGAATATCCCAAACTGAGTCTGTGGCTAAGGATGCCTTGAGCTTCTGATCCTATGGCAGATTATAAGCATCTAACTCGACTCGGCACCCAGGACTTTATCCAGGGTCTCATGGATAGTAGCAAGCACTTTAAGAACTAAACTATATCCCCAGCCCCAAACACTTAATTCACAGAAAAAATCAATATCTGAAAAATAAACGTTTGAGCACTGACTGCTCTTCCAGAGTATCCAAGTTCAATTCCCAGAAACCCACATGGCAGCTTACGACTGTCTGTAACTCCAGGTTCCAGGGAACCCAACACCCTCACACAGACATACATGTAGTCAAAACACCAATGAACATAAAATAAAAATGAATAAATTATTTTTAAAAACATTTGGGAAACTGACTTTACCTATTGAACTCTTTTTAATGCTAAAATATGATAACAGAACCCAGTATCTCATCAGACACTGGGTTTTGTTCTAATTAACTATGAAACTAGTTTTATACCAATATAGAAAATTATTTCAAACTAGATCTAAATTAAAACTTCAATTTGTTACTGGTTAGCTTAGACAAAGAAATCAATCATCCTACAACACCTTGAAAGCTTATCAACTTTGTTTTCAAAATATCCTGCAGTTCAATATTTTCATCTAATTATACCTGTACTACTTAAATGAAGCAATTAAAGTAGTATTACTTTCCCTGCCCAATCCTATAACCAAAACAAGCATTGCTATTCTGACAATGTTTAAAAATCTCAACTACTATTGCACTCAGGAGGTAGAGGCAGGCAGATCTCTTTGAGTTCACGGCCTGCCTGGTCTATACAGGACAGGCTCCAAGGCTACACAGAGAAACCTGTCTCTCTCTCTCTCTCTCTCTCTCTCTCTCTCTCTCTCTCTCTCTTTCTCTCTCTCTCAATCAACCAACCAACCAACCAACCAACCAACCAATAAAATCTCCTTCGCCCTCAGCCTAATCTAATGATGAATGATTGGGGGGTGGGGGAGAGCAGATGTTGATATCAGGAAAGAAGCAACATGTACCCTCTAGGCTAGCCATAGTGGTACTGCCTGTAATGCAACTATCAGGAAGCTAAGGCAAGACCATGGAGGCCAACAGGGACTGTACATAACCAAATGTTGTTTTTAAAAGATTTTTCTTCCTCTTCTACAACAATCATTAGTAGATTTACTATTTCAAAAAACTTTCAGAAACTGATGAACTTTTGAATTTACTGTTAAATCTGGATGAGATGCCTATTTTGGCAACCACAGCCTATTCAGCAAAGCAACAATCCTCACAAAGAATACTTCATATATTCCAGTAAAACAAAATTAAAGTGTATTTTAGCATGCTTCTAATCAAGGGTGAAGCATTTTTAAAGATGTACTGATCCTTCAAAAGTAAAATCACACTGGAATTGGAGTAATTGCACAGTAAGAGTGCTTGCTGCTTACAGAGGATCTGAGTTTGGCTCCCAAAAGCCAACACAGGCAGCTCATACCACCTATAAATCCTGTTCCAAACGGTTTGGCCTCCAATGACATTCACACATGTTAAAACATACTAATAGACACACATAAATTAAAATACTTTAAAATAATAATAAACTTTCACGTTAGCCACAAACCCTCTAGAAGAGGGTTCATCTTGAATAGTCCCAACATTTCTTGGATTAAAAAAAAAAAATCCTATTTTCCTGCCCATAGATCAAAAATCACCATAAACATACTTAACTGTGTTCTATTCGGTTCAGAATCATCTAAGTTTCTAGGTTTACAACTCCGTACCCATTTATTGTGCACTAATATAAAACACTAAATACAGTTCTATCTAAATCTAAAACATTAATGATTAGTAGTTAATTATATTAGTAACTTATACCTCTTCTGTCCAAACACCCAAGATCCTAGGACGCTTCTGTCAGTCCTAAGGGAAAAAGGAAACAATAAACACCTGTCACAAAAGCTTTCCAAATTGGGAAGCCCCGAACAGTTAATGTCAATCCGCAATGCTATTCCCTCCCTCCCAAATCCACACCCACCATAAAAGATATCATTTGGCCAGTTGTCTGTATGAAGGGCAGGCCAGAAAGTTAAATTAGCTGAAAGGGCTCTGGGTCTTTCCCTTCACAATCTCTAGTGTTGACACCTCATCAATGTCTAAAGTCACTTTTCCTTTCTGGGCCTCGGCTATCTGTAAAGTGTGCTGATACCCAAGGTAATCTATTTCGTGGCCAGGGCCGAACTTGGACTAGTGAGCACCGGCACGAACCCATCCGGGCCCTGCCCACGCTCTTCTTCGGAGCACATCACCTTCTAGACTTTATAGAGTGGCTGGCCCACCGGGCCGGGCGGCACGCAGCGGCACGCAGCGGATGCACTCAAGACCTCCACACTCACACGTGTTCCCAGACGGTACCGGGGCTCGTCGCCCTCTGCCCGTCACACACACCTTCCCTGAGAGAGGATGTCCAAGTCGGGCCGCGGAAGCAGCCATAGACTCACCTGGTACCCACCACCCGGGCGACTCCGCTCGCCTTCTCGAGCCTCCCCATCACCTTCGCCGCCCGCCCCACACCCCGCTCGCCCAATCACTCACCAGCCGCGCCGCCGTGCTGACTCCGCGGCGGCCTTCCCGGCCCAGGCAGCCAAAAGGCCGCAGGGGGCCGGGCGGCCGCTTTCGCCGCCGCCGCCGCCGCCGCCGCCTCTCCTCAGCCCAGCCCCATCGCCCACGGCCAGCGCCGGCGGCCGCGGGTCGCTCGGGCTCGAGGCGCCGCCGCCGCGCGTCGCGGCTCCGACTGTGGGGACGGAGGCGCCGCGGCGGAGCCCGGGCCGCACCGGGCGCAGGGGCGTCCGCGCTCCGCTCGTCGGCGCCTGCGACGGCGGCTTGCAGCCGGGCAGGGCGAGAACAAGGGAGCGCGGCGCGGAAGACCGGCAGGGGACGAGGGGCGGTCTGCTCTGAGAAGAGGCCTCCCGCCGTCGGCGACGAAGCGGACCCCCTCCCCGCGGCCACGGCGCCCGGTCACGCTGCGGGGAGGGCTGGCAGGCACACGGGGAGCGCCCCGCGAGCTCAGGACTCCCGCGCCGGATGTGAGGTCACGTGATTGCCTCATCCCAGCGCCCAGCGCGGAGGGGCCGTCAGGGGGCGGGGCGACCATCGGCCCCGCCCACCTCCTCGCAATCGGGCCCCCAGCCCGCCTAAGCAAGAACCGCTAGCGGGAGACGCTCTGAAAGAGCGCTTTGCGGTGATGCTGCCCCGGGCTCATTTTGCGGCAGACTGTGAACTGTGTGTGGCTTGCCGTGCTCGGAGAAGATCATAGTCCAAACCCCCATTTCATGAACAAAGAAACTGAGGCACCGAGATAAGTGCAGACTTGCCTAAGGTGGCAGTCAAGAGAGGACGCCAATGCCAACAAGGTGGAGAGAGAAGTCCTAGCTCCGGGGCCAGATTCTTTCCCTTCTTTATCGCCACCCACACCAAAAAAGAACACTTTAATTCCAGTGGAACTTCTGGCCCAGCCCGCGGGCGTGGGATTCAGAATAGAGTCAGGTAGGCAGGAGAAAGCTTCCACACCCGAGACCGCCTGAGCCTCAGGGAGGATTTTTTTCGACAGTGCTGAATGCAAATTAAATACTTCCCTCCTCAGGAGACTTGTCGCTATCTCAGGGCACTACCCCGCCCGGATATTCAAATCGCTAGTTTGGGTTTTCACTGACTTCAGCTCGGCGCCGAGCGCGGGAAGCAGAGCTTGCCACCTGCTGCCTCCAGCTCCGCCATTTTTTCGCCCTGAGTCTACCTCACCTGCATCCCAGGCGCCTGGTCATCACTTGTTACTGTTCTCCCGCCTTCCTGCAAACATAACTCTTAGCTGCTTGACCGGCTTAGAAGAAAGAACTGCACAGGCTGGGGCCCTGTTCCCCATACTTGGGCTGAGTCCTTCAGGGGCCTCCAGCCTAGTCACCTCTCAGGACATGTCCTCTTGGTCCACAGCACAGAATGGCATCTCCTTTGGGTCAGTACAGTGTCCCAGAACCATTTCACTAATACACCTCATTTAGAATGATGCTGCTCCTGCCCTCCACCCGCGGCAGTGGGGTCGTAGAAGGCTGCTATGGAATTTCTTCTTGCCAAATGACATGGACATCACACTAAAGGAAGACAAGCCACCGCTGTGTGTTTCCAGCTCGCACTCACCACTGTTTGAAACTTCCGTGTGTGTTTCCTACCCCACTTGTGCTGGAGTAAGTAAATGAGATAAGGACTGGATAGGGCTGAACAAACCCCACACACTCCTTCCCGCTCCCGTGGTCTCCTGGTTATTTACCTCTCCGATTTTAAAGGCGGCTCAAGCCTCTCCAGGTCCTATAAATGTCAAGGCAACCATCCACTTAAAGTGCCCTCTTCAATTAGCTGCCAAGTGTTTCTGGCCCTCTCATGCACACCTCTTGAACAGTGGTCACCCCCTGGATCTAGCTGCCTCTACTTCCTCATTCCTCCACTCTTGGGAAACTGACCACACAGGCAGAGAGAGAGAGAGAGAGAGAGAGAGAGGGAGGGAGGGAGGGAGGGAGGGAGGGAGGGAGGGAGGGAGGGAGGGAGGGAGGGAGAGGCCCTTCCTCACCCTGCTCAGGTGAAAGTAACCCATAACCTTCATGTCACCCACCATTGGGGCAGAACTGCCCTTCTTGCCCCTCAGCACTACCTCTCTGCACCCCTGGATGTTCTCACCTTCTGGAATCACTCTACTACCTCAGTCTGCTGAGGACTGTGATCTCCCAGCTCTCAAGTCTCAATACCTAAGAACTCTGCCCTCTTCAGTGTCATCCTTAAGGGCCACCAGCTGTGAAAAGCCCACAGCTGTACTCACTCCCATTCACACAGTCTTGGAGAATCATCTCCACCCTTGTTTTGAACCCTCATATCAGCCAGACCTCTTCCTTAAAAACAAAAACAAAACAAACAACCCAGAATCAAATCAAATTTCCAACTATCTGCCATGCATCTCTATCTAGAGCTCACAGAGAAACACCTATGGTGTGTCCAAAACTGAACTGACCTCTCCCTCTATAACTGCCCCCTCCCGAAGCTAATTGCACCACCATCACACTGCCATTTGAATTAGAAAGCTAGGAATGAATGAGTCACCCCTGGTGAATAACTAAGCCCTATCTATTTCACCTCAAATTCCTACCTCCATTCCACTGGCACCCATCCTTTCTTAGCTACACACACGCTTTGACAGCCTCCCACCAGCCTTCTTCAGACAAACTCATCCTCCATCCTCACTCCAAAGTCCTGTCTAAAGCACACACCTACTTAAAATCCTAAGCTCGATGCCACTAGGGCTTTGATTTTTTATTACACTTATTTGTTGGGCATGGAGTGAGGGGGGCACCTCATGGCACAAGTGTGGATGTCAGATAATGACATTTTGGACTTGGTTCTCTGGCCCCACTTCCAGGTCCCAGGGATGGAACTCAGATGGTCAGGCTTGGCAATCCCTGTACCTGCCATCTCACAGGCCAGAGCCCACGCTTTGGTGATATAGATACATGCCTGTAAAATCAGCACTTGGGAAGTGGAACATGGTCAGTTTGTAGCTAGCTTGGACTATGATAACCCGTCTAAAAACGGGGAAAAAAAAAAAAAAAAAAAAAACCAAAGAAAAGCCCAGATTTCAAGATGCAACTGAATTTCTCAAACTAAGGCAACCCACATGGGGCTTAGTAAATTCGAGGAAGAAATAAAGCAGTTAAATATTTCAAGTTCTTTGCTACGGATGCTTTGAGTCTAGGGGGGAAGAGAGTCTGAACACTGGCCTGGGGAAGAGATGTTGAGTCAGGCTTGAGCATGTTTAAAGGCTGAGAGAAAGGCATGGAGAAGTGAGTCAGTCCCCAAAAGGACTGAAAGTGATAAGAGCCGGTCTTCACACTTTTGAAACCTTGAGTGATATTCAGCCTATCACATTTCTGGGCCCCAGTCTTCAGTATTGCTAGATCCAGGCTTTCCTTCTTCTGATCACTATTTAAAGCCCAACCCAAGCGTATGTTGGTCCACACCTAAAACTGAAGCTATTAGGGAATGAGTCAGAAGGATCACATGAATGCTGGAGTTCAAGGCCAGCCATAGTAACATATAGAGACTGCACCTCCAAAAAAGTAAAGAAAACATCAGAAACAGCAACAACAAAACATTCCACCCAGGACCACAAGCACAGATAACAAACAGTCCTACAATTACCTTGACCATTCTTGCCACAAAAATTAGTTTCCCATGGTTAAAAATCCATATTCACTTTTTCTTAACCAACACCTTACATCACTTTACCTCCTGTGTTACCAAGAAAACTGCAAACCATCTGTAGAGACTTGTACTCCCCAGATCTACATGTCACCCCGATACTACATCCAGTCTTTTTTCTCATTCTAAAGATACAAAGCCCCTCCTGACAGCTCTCTCTCTATGACGGTCACTCTAAACCTTCCTAATGCTGTGTCCCTTTAATACAGCTCCACATGTTGTATTGGCCCCCCAACCATAAAATTATTTTTATTATTATTTCATAATTGTTATTTCATAATTTTGCTACTGTGATCACTCACAATGTAAATACTTTTGAAGGTAGAGGTTTGTCAAAGGGGTCCAAACCCATAGGTTGAGAACCATTCCTCTATAAGTTCAGGGCCAGGCCCCAAGGAGGTTACCACTGTCCTGAATGCCAGGGGATTCTTTATGTTTCTAGCTCTTTACCCACTCCAACAGAATTCATCACCCCATCTTTCATTTATTTGTTTATTTTTTTTTTTTTTTTTTTTTTTTTTTTTTTTTGAGACAGGGTTTCTCTGTATAGCCTTGGAGCCTGTCCCTATAAGACAGGCTGGCCTTGAACTCACAGAGATCTGACTGCCTCTGCCTCCCCAGTGCTGGGATTAAAAGCAAGCGCTGCCACCACCGCCCAGCTTTATTTTATTATTATAGTATACTTGTGTTTTGCCTGCATGTATGTGTGTGTAGCACATGCCTGATTGATGGAGGCCAGAAGAGGGTATCATCTTCTGGAACTGGAATTACAGATAGGTGTGGGCTGCGACGAAAGTGATAAGAACTGAACCTGAATCCTCTAGAAGACCAGTCCATTAGTCATTTTTGAAACAGAGTCTCTCTTTGTCACCCTGCTGGCCTGGAACCCACTATGTAGACCAGAATGGCTTGAAATTTGTGGCAACCCTCCAGGGAGTACTGTGACTCCGGGATGCCCCTCCTTATCCACATAGCACTCCCTCTTGGAAACACCTTTCCTGTCCATCGTGTTTGATTATGTAGTCTTGGAATTCTTCCTCTTTGTTACTCCTTCTCTCCATGCCTCTGTCTGTCCCTCTGTCTGTGCCTCTGTCTATACATCTCCTCTCTCTCTCTTTCTCTCTCACACACAAACACATACTGTCTGAGAGCCAAAGATAACACCTCTGATATACACAATAACATACCCTTCCCAGGTAACTTTGTCTACCATGGCTATAGCCATTATGGCCATGTACATTAATAACTCTCGGTGATTATGTCCCCACAGCCCACCCCTCTCTTCAGAGAGTCAGATGATACATACCTCTCCCTCCCTTTGTTATTGTTGTTTAAGATTTATTTTACTTTTTAAAATTATATGGCGGTGGTAGGGTGGGTATGTACATGTAAATGCCTATGCC